TGTACAAAGTAAAAACAGTTAAAAACAATTCAATCTTTCCGTAACTTATCTTTCATTTGCCTGTTCCCCAGACCTCCTCACACCTCCCTTTTTTGTATCCAGTTCAATTAGTTGGTTCAGCAAATCCTTTCCCTCTTTGTTTTTATCCTAATCTTTAATCTTAATATATTATAACTTTAAATTATCACCTGTTATAAAGCTGAGCTTTAAAGGTGGCGTTACGGCTTGCTAGGGATAAAATACACTTGACTTAATGTGATCTGCACTTGCAGAAGTCACACACTATAAAAGTTCTTGGAAGTGAATGGTTTCTTTTAAAGTTTTCAATTAGTAGCTTTTAATCAGCAAATTATTTCCAGGAAATGGCACAGGGGGAACAGGACCCCTTCTGAAGAATGTCAGGTATGAGTGACCCAGCCGTTCTCACTTTCACCCCCACCAAACTTATCGCAGAGGGAACATTTACTATGCCGTAGAAATGTTCATCTGCTGAACGGCTAAGATAAATATGTCCCACTTTACTGCTTCCATAAGCTGCATGTGTGTCATAAAGCTCGACCTAAGAGCACAACCCTCCACCTCAAATACTTCAAACAAACCAGCACTAAGGGGCCTCGTGAGAGTTTTAGCTTTTGCTTAAACCTAGCTGCAAGGAAAATGTTTGCGTCTTCAATTATCATTTTCAAATCATTCAAAGTCACCGAGAAGACTGTGTTGAACTTTTCCATTGCAAGATTTGGCTAGGAAAGTGGTTATGGCTTATTTGGTTTTCCTAATGAATGGGCTCAGCTGCCCTTCATACACAGAACCCAATGTGTGGATCTCTGGCCTGTGAAATGTAAACAAGGGTCACTGCTTGATCTTATTTATTTGTGTATTTACTTAAGACATTTATATCCTGCTGTTCTGCAAGCGTTAGGCAATTCACAACAAAACCACATGAATTAAAACAAAACCCAGTAAACACACACTATATTGCCCCCAGCAGATCCCTTTATCCAGGTGTACAACATGCATTACTGACCAAATGACCTCCCTGTTTTTACTTCTGGGCAGCTGCCCTTCTGCATTTCTCCAGCGGCTGGGAATTGCTTGAAGAGGTAGACAAGAATCTGCTGGGGAGCAAGTACAGTTCTCCTCCACTGCAGGGATGGGGAAGCTGCTATGACACTCCAGATGCTATTGGACTACAAGTCTCATCAGTCCCAGCCAGCATGGCAAATGCTCAGGGATGATGGGAGTTGTAGTCCAGCAATCTCTGGAGGGCCACACTTTCCCATTCCTGTTTCTGGGCTTGTTCTTGTGCTCGCCTAGAAAGCATGGGTCCAAGCAGTTTTCCATATTCTGTTTGCCCTGCTGCTTTCCCCAGGAAAACTCGCTCTTTAGTGCTGAATCGGAGCAAACATCCATCTGTGGTACACCCAACTGACATTTCATAGAACTGGAAGGGACTGTGAAAGTCATCTAGTCTAACCTCTGCAATGCAGGAATCTTTTGCCCGACATGGGGCTCAAACCCACAACCCTGCGATTAAGAGTCTCATGCTTTACTGACTGAGCCACAAGTCAATCCAATTCAGCAGTAAAGATTGGGTTTTCCTGGGGGGAAGTCTGAATGAGTGTAATATGGGGCAAGGCTATAAATGTGAAAAATAAAAGTGAAATATAACAAAAGAACTGAGGGATACCCATTATCATATACATTAGTCACTCTTTGACAAAATAAACTGGTGGTGTTTTTGTTTTATTTCACTATAATATACACACTCTTTGGAGTGGGATAAGGATTCAGGGAAGCTTCTCCTGAAGGAAGGAAGACCTGACTCATGTTCTGAGAAACCTATTGCTACGTCCCTCAATCCTGAGCCATCTGCACTTTGCTATTCTTCCAGTACTTTAATATGATTTAAGAGGTAAATGAGATCAGGTAGATTGTTCAAGATATATTTGCTTAATTCAACCCCATAAAAACACAGGCTCTTTACATGGAGGGAAAAGGAAAACATGAGTCAGGCTACGATGTAAAAGAGATAAAATAGCACGCTTAATATCAAGTACAGCAATACATACATTCCTATGTACATTCACTCAGAAGCAAGTCCCACTAAATTCAATGGGATTTATCTTCATATAGATGGGCAGAGCATTGTAGCCATAGAATGAAATTTCCTTATGAAAGAGAAGCACAACTAAAGTTGGTTCCGTTTTCTCTTTTTGGTCATGAAAGAGTAACAATGCGCAAACAGGTAAGCTACCAAAATAAATTGTGGCTGCTTCCATCAGACTTCACTGAGATTATATTTTAATCAAGTTCATATACCTTATCCAAGCAACAAGGCTGATGCCAGGGAGCCAAATTTAGAAATGGGGTGAGTATTTGTAAGGGGGAGAACCTCAAGAGGAACTGTCTCCCTTGACTGAATAGACTGGTCTATTTTTTCAGTTTCATCCAGCCTATTTTGAGCTGGCTCCAAAGTCAAATGGGGATCAAAAGGCCACTCCATGCACCATTTCCTGTCAAATATGGTGCCCAACAGGAAATGATGTCATCACCTATTGCCCTCTTTCCCAAGGTAAGGCTTCTTCCTTGGAAAATGTGGGCTGGTGATAGAGGGCAGAGCAGCAGAGGCTGGAAAGCTTGGAGAAGGGGAGCAGCTTGCATTTTGTATGAATTAATGACTGGCGGGGGACTCCTCAAGGGTCCCAGCCACACCATATATTTAATAGTACATGGGAATCCTTACAGAGCTACAATTCCCAGTGCTTTTAACAAAACTACAGTCCCCATGATTATTTGGGGAAGCCATGTACACTAAATGTGCTTTAAATGTATAGCATTGGGCATTAGTGGTTATTGACATGAGGAGATAGACCATCATGACCAAAATTTGTTCTAGTGTTTGACCTGAACACTTGAACAAGGAAAGCATAGTCAGTTCTGGAGGCAAGTTGGATGTGTGTCAATCATCCCTCCCTACAACACATTCATGCTGTTCGTATGAAGAGCTAACCAAGTAGTTTAAGCCAATTGCAAAACCAAGGAAGGCTTTCATTATAGGTACTGTTGGCCAACAAAGGACAACTGGGTGCCTACATAATTCTGTTTCCTGGTGGCACAGCTACTGCCCACCTAAAGAAGGAATTGGGCCTAAAACATCGCTGAAAAGTCATTTGAGAAAATGAAGCAATCAGGAGTGAGTCTATGCTCTCTTAAGTGCATCTACTTGGGAGTAAGATCCCTGGGATCCCAGAATGCTGTCACAACAGACTAAAATTTCTGCCTGCTGTCCTGGTCAACTCTTCAGACCATTTGTTGAATTCCAGGACCAGCGAATTCAATGAAACTAGGTAAAATGTCTCAAGAGTTGGCATTTAAAGGAATGAAGCAGAGAAAATGAGGCTGAAGGGGCCATAAATAACACACTGGATGCAATCCAGAGAAAGCTAGGCATAAATTGCTTTAGTCACATTAAATTCAGTAGGAACTGAGCTCACCGTTAATGCTTACGTTCCATTGATTTGAATGGAATATGTTTAAGTGTCACCAGACTTCATTGGCTATTGCCCACTGGCAGTGATCCAACTGTTCTGAAGCTCTTAGTGTTGTGTACAGGTTTACTTGTTCTCTTTCGTGGGCAGGGGAACACACGCTGCAAGAAACTGGGGATTCCTATACTGTACATGCATAGAGAACTTCCTCTAGTAGAATCAATCAGGACTTCAGATAGACCTCCAAACTGAAAGTGAGCCCCATTCATTTGTGTGAACTTTACTTCCAAGTAGTTCTGTACATTCACATTTGCTGTTAGGCTGAAATTCCAAGCTCACTTAGTGTGGAGTAAACTGCATCAGAATCTCTCAGACTGGCTTCTGTTTCAAGTAAGCCTTATTTAGGATCAATGTGCAAAACTCTTAACGCAGTGGCTCACACTCTCCCTTTTCCTGAAAGCATTTAGGAGTCTAATCCGCCACTGAGTGCCAGCAATTCGTAGGCTGCCAAACACAAACCACTTAAACCACCAAACTTGCATTCAAACTTGCTCAGGCCAAGCACCCTCAGGAGACCAAAACTGGATCAAGTGAAGATTTGGTAACTCAGGTATTTGGTGCATACAGCTGTAACCTGCATTGGCTTCAGTTACTTTGTGTGTCCTAGGGCGTGTACACACACAGGACAAAACGTTACTCCAAATTCATTAATGGAATTAGTCAATTCATTTAGAGCTCTTCTCACTATCAGTCTAGAATTGCCACTGTGAATAAAAGATTTCATTACGCACAGGTATGCCTACAACAATTTCTGCTTGATTGTATCAACAACTAAAAAATGTTGTGTGAGCTCAGTTGTACCAATTTTGTGGAGACTGTCATCTTACCTGGTCTTCAAATATGCACTCACACATTTGAAAATAAATCCTTCCTGATAGGAGACCCACACACTCCAACTCCAGACTAAGTTCTCATGGATTTTTGCATTAAAACTATAGGAAGTCTCAAGCAAGACATACACAGTTGGCTGTTTCAGAAACGCCGCTAAGGAGGATGAAGCCTAGACTGCATATTTTTAGTGCAATACTGAGGACTAGAAGATTGCCTCGCTTTTTTAAAAAAAAGCAAAAGTGGCATTTCCTCGCTTTTACTTGAGGGCTTAGAAATTTCGCCCAGTCAACATTTCATCAAGGTGCGTGCGTGTGTTTGTGTGTTTGTGACACACGTGTCTGTGAGGGTAGTACGGGTGGGTAGGAATCTACCTAGGTCTGGAAACTTGCTTTGCCAGGTCAAGACACCTCTTAGCCCTAGAGTACAACGAAGCCAACTTTTTGCTCGTTCCTGGCTGCCCATCCGCGCTTGGCACAGCGCGCTCAGCAAGTGCCATTGTGGGTGGGAAGACAATAGCAAACGCAGACGAGCGGCCTCGGGGAAGAGACTCAGGAGGGTGCTTTGCTGCCCCGGCGCGGCGACGCTGGGGAAGGAAAGAAGAAGGAGCCGCGCCTGCCTTACCGTGAGCGCAGAGAACTTCTGAGCCGGCGCGAGGAGCGCCAGCTCCGGCAGCAGCAGCCACAGCGGCAGCAGCAGCATCCTCGGGCGCCGCCGGATCGGGCCTTCGTGGCGGGGTCCGTCTGTCGGTCCCTAGTGGGGCTCAAGCCCTCCTTCCTGCAGAGGATTTCCCCTGGCGGGTCTTCTTGGGCGCCAATTCCCTCCTCAGGTTTGGAGAGGGGAGCGCGCACGGGAGACGAAGCCGCTCTCCGCTGCGCCCTGGGGCTGCTGGGTTGGGGATCCCCTCCGCAGGCTTGCAGGTCCCGAACTCGCCGCTCTCTCCACTCCGGCTCTCCGCCTGTGGAGCGACGATCCCTTTCTCGTTGTACAGGAGCTGCCTGCTGCGGATCCCTGAATCAGATACTGTCTGCTGGTGGCCAAGCAGCTTGCTTTGCCCTCCCTCGGTGTGGAGCTGTCATCTGATGCTCGCCCGGGGAGCGAGCAAGAGAGAGCGCGCACGGGAGGGGGGACTTTAAATAATAGCAATTAAAGAGCGGGGGACTTCCCTAATCCTCTCTTCTGTCGTCCTACACCAGGCAGCAGCCTTGTCTCTGGCTCTGCAGGAATTCGGGATGGTTTGGAAGGAGGCGGCCGGAGAGATGGGGAAGGTGCAGTATGAACCTCCCAATGTCTTATATACACACCCCTCTCTGCGCTTCCCTCTGAGCCCGGCCTCCAATGCCTCCTCCCAGACCTGCAGATCCTCCGCTGATTGATTGATTAACCCTCCTGACACCAGTTTTTGCTCGCCCCCTTCGCTGAGATTCCTAGCAGATTCTTTTGGAAAGCAGAATAATCAGCAAGAGTGAGAGAGAGCGAGAGACCCCCAAAAAGGGGGCAAACTAGACCATTTGAGGCGGTCACCAGCGTGCCTCCTGCAACCGTTTGCAAGAGGTCAGCGTGCGCAAAGAGGCAAGCGTGCGTTTGCTTCTAGTCCCGCTGCTGGGGGTTGTTGCAGATTGCGTTGCAAAAGAGGGTTTAAAAGGTGAGCGCCGGGCAGTTGGTGTGATCCCTCGGCGTTGTTCGCCTTCCAGCTCTGGTGACATTTTGGGGCAGTTGCTCGGTAACTCTAGCTTTGAAGGATAAGCAAGAGGATTTGGTGCGTGCGTGTGCCTTGACGCTAAAGAGTGTCTTTTCTCTCTCTCTTTCAAACGCGGCATTGTTGGAATATTTCAGCCTTGGCCGGTCACTTGGCACAACGCTGCTGACACAAAACTGAAGGATTACAATATTTCTGAAAGCAAAGCAGACTCAGATGAATTCATCAAGGGTCGGGAAGCGCGAGAGAAATAAGAGTCTGCCTTGAGAATTAGCTTTGGATTAATTTGTCGAATCAAGTGCAACTAGTAAATCCTAGTATTCCAAAAACCTTGTTTTGCATCACACAGGATTCTGCCTTATATTCATGTTACTGCCTATTCTGCATTCAATGCTCTTCCACTGCTAGTTTTCCCAGCTAGATTTACACTAACTTAGGCTGTGTACATATATATATACATACTATATAAACTGCCTCAGTCCTGTATACCTGAAGGAGCGTCTCCACCCCCATCATTCAGCCCAGACACTGAGATCCAGCACTGAGGGCCTTCTGCCAGTTCCCTCACTGTGAGAAGTGAGGTTACAGGGAACCAGGCAGAGGGCCTTCTCGGTAGTGGCGCCTGCCCTGTGGAACGCCCTCCCAGCAGATGTCAAGGAAATAAGCAACTATCCTACTTTTAAAAGACATCTGAAGGCAGCCCTGTTTAGGGAAATTTTTAATGTTTAATGCTGTATTGTGTTTTTAATATTTGATTGGGAGCCACCCAGAGTGGCTGGGGAAATCCAGCCAGATGGGTGGGGTATAAATAATAAATTATTATTATATAAATTATTATACCGTTAAAGCACATATGACACACATTTCCCTCCTCAAAGAATTCTGGGCACTATAGTTTGCCCCTGTAGAGCTACAATTCCCAGCAATCCATAAGAAACTACAGTGCCCAGAATTCTTTGAGGGGGGAAATGTGTTTCAAATGTATATAGTGTATATTCAGCCAGGGCCACAAGCCCATATGGACCCTGAAGTTTCTTGACAAATATTGCAGTCAGGTGTGTTTCTTTGTCAAACTGGCTTCAATCAAACTAGAAAACTGAATATGAAGCGGTAAAATGAAGATACCCTAACAGCCATTGCACATGCACAAATTACAGCTTCACAAATAGGAGTTTGGAGCAGGGGTTGCAACAGCAGGGAAACCAAAAAGGTCCTGCAGGTTGGGTGAAGACATCCCTGCCCACTTTCTGGCATGAACAACACACTGGAAACACAGCTTGAAACATAGTAGGAGCAGCTGTTGACCTTGCTACATTTTAGGCCACTAATGTGAACATTGTCTTTGACCATGGAGTTTTCTTGGCAGGGATACTGGAGTGGCTTGCCAGTTCCTGCTCCAGGTGGATCACCTTTGGTCAAAACTCTCCATTATGACCTGTCCATCTTGGGTGCCCTGCATGACATAGCTCATAGGTTCTCTGAGTTGTTCAAGCCCCTTCCCATGACAAGGCAGTGATCCATGAAGGGCCGATCGCCGAAGAATTGATGCTTTTGAATTATGGTGCTGGAGGAGACTCTTGAGAGTCCCATGGACTGCAAGAAGATCAAACCTATCCATTCTTAAGGAAATCAGCCCTGAGTGCTCACTGGAAGGACAGATCGTGAAGCTGAGGCTCCAGTACTTTGGCCACCTCATGAGAAGAGAAGACTCCCTGGAGAAGACCCCGATGTTGGGAAAGATGGAGGGGCTGGGAAAGATGGAGGGCACAAGGAGAAGGGGGCGACAGAGGACGAGATGGTTGGATAGTGTTTTCGAGGTTACCAGCATGAGTTTGACCAAACTGCGGGAAGTAGTGGAGGACAGAGGTGCCTGGTGTGCTCTGGTCCATGGGGTCACGAAGAGTCGGACACAACTAAACGACTAAACAACAACAACAACAATGTGAACATACCCCAAATCAGACCATTGGTTCTTCTAACTCAGTGTTTTCTACACTGAGTGGATGTGGCTGTCCAGGATTTCACAGAATTGTAGAGTTGGAAGGGATCCCAAGGGACATCTAGTCCAATCCCCTGCCCTGCAATGCAGGAATCTCAACTAGACCATACATGGCAGGTGGCCATCCAACCTCTGCTTAAAAACCTCCAAGGAAGGAGAGTCCACCACCTCTCACGGGAATCTGTTCCACGGCTGAACAGCTCTTACTGTCAGAAAGTTCTTCCTGACAGAATCTCCTTTTTTGCAACTTGAGGCCATTGGTTTGAGTCCTTCCCTCCAGAGCAGGAGAAAACAAGCTTGTTCCATCCTCCATGTGGAAGCCCTTTAGATAATTGAAGATAGCTATCATATCTCCTTTCAGTCGCCTCTTTTCCAGGTTTTCCAGGTTAAACCTACCCTCAGCTGTTCCTCATTAGGTTTGGTTTCCAGACCCTTGATCATCTTTGTGTCCTTCCTTCTGCACGTGTTCCGGCTTGTCAATATCCTTCGTTCAGGCGGAATTTTCTCCCTGCCCTACCTAGAGATGTGAAGGTTTAACCCTGGAACCTTCTGCATGCAAAATATATGCTCTATCACCAAGCTGCAGCCTTTTACATAACAATGGCATTGGCATCTTTGCACCTGCTCCCTCCTAAAGAGGGAGCAGATTGAAGCTGGGATTTGAACTTCAACTGGAGAATTCCAACATCAACATACATACCAAGTCTTGTGCTGATACCTCACTCTTCATGGCAGATACTGCATTACAGTGTCTTTTACATCTTTCCTGACCTTGAAAACAAGTAGAGGGATTCAGCTGTTATTTGAACTTGAAACTTAGAACTGAATCCTGAATATGCATATCATATTTTATTCTGATATCAATGTGCTGGAGGGAAAGATGGTGTTACCAGCTTACAAACAATGCCAAACCGATGAGTTAAACCAAGGTCCGAATTTGCTCAGCTAGTATAATACTTAGCATGGTCATTTAGACTGTTCTATGTGTGTTGATCTTAATAATCTTTGGAATAACCATATAAATAGGTCCATATTTTTATCCCCATATTTTGGATGAAGGAACTGAGGCTGAGAAGGAGCAATTTGCTTAAGGCTCGGTTTGGGAACCTCCAGATGTTGCTCCCATCATTCTTGACCACTGGTCATGCTGACTTGAACTGATGGGCCTTGAACTCCAACAACATGTGGAGGCCACAGGTTTCCCAACATGTATGCACAACCAGAGTTCTGTCCTGACCAATGGCGGTGGCTGGGGAAAGAACTGAGGGAGGAAGAGCCTTAGAGAGTGGTGGGAGGTGGAGACCAACTGCCTCATTGGAGCAAGACTTCTTGGGAAGAGCAGCCATGATCACTACGCCTGAGCTACTTTGGGTTTTTTTTGAATAAAGAGTTAACTTTGTTGACACTCCTTATTGCTGACCTGCTCCTGACTCCGGCTCCTGACGCTTATTGAGATGGAGCCAACCAGGAATGCACATAATATTGCAAATGCATCCGCACCATAGATTTATATAAAGATATTGGGATGTATCTAAGGAAATTGTACCCAGAGCAGATCTATTAAAATTAATGGATGTAAATTAGCCATGTCCATTAATTTCAATTTGGATATGAGCCATTTTGTATGTTGGGTCCATCTGCTGCCTCCTCCTCCTCCTCCTTCTCATCATCTTCTCGGTTACTTGACCAATCTTAAGCCAAACTAGGGATGTTTTCGCTGGAGTGGCATTTGACCTGTTTTGATGGATTCCATAAAGCAAACCCAGCTCCAATTAAGGTCCAGATGCAACATATCAGCTGAGTCTGCTGCTGGTGAATACCTGAAACCTATATGGCTAATCCACCCCAGCAGAAACAGTATCCTACATTATCACATCTTTTAATTAAAAGGCACTAAAAGTAATGAAGTATTAGCAATGATTACTCTGCATACCCAAACCAAGACAGATCATTTCATAAATGTGTGGAATATCTATATGTTTGAGGAGTACATAAGAAAATGCAATGTGACTGGAAGGTGTTTTTTTCTTTTCTTTTTTACCACATTTCTTTTCATTATTTTTCTGGCTCTCTGAATTTGCCTTGTGTGCCAAGCTGCTCTTAGCAACTTGATTGTACCTTCTTCCCCAATTTTTCTAAAAGAGAGAGAAATTGCTAAGGACACATCTGAGCACAGCAACAATGTGATTTATTCAGAGCAAAGGGTTAAAGCCTCTTGGAAATGAAGGTATTCCTTTTCTGCTTGGCAGGAAACTATTTGGGTTTGGAATGTTTCAAAGGACTCCCCCCTCCTTTTATCACAGGTGCTTTTAAACCATTCCGTGGCTGATTTTCAACGTCTGTGGCCAATGGTAAACCACAGAGAATTTAATTCTTTTTTATGAATAGCTGTTTTACTAACTAAATTCCCTTGAAGGTTTTCTTAATGTCGTCAATAACAATCCACAAATAATCCACAATCCCCAAAACCTATTGAGGACAGCTTTGTTTAGAAAATAAATTTTAGATTATAGTTGCTTGTACATTTGCTTTCTTTTTCTTTTGGCACGAGGCAAGGAAGAAACCCTGCAAAAAAGCAGCTACACATCATTGACACAATAATAGTGCATTAGTGGTGGATTTGCAGTATACTGGACCATCCACACATCATACCATACTGGACCATCCACACATACAGCTCATTTTGTGAGCTGTGTTGCGGCACTTCCCCAATGTTGCTGCATTATTGCTGTCTGGAGGGGCGCTCTTGCACTATGTCACAATGAATGTGGTTCTGAAAGATTCAACTGGAAGGTTTGTGGTATTGACAATACAGGAATGCAAGACTAGCCCTGCTGGATCAGGCCAATGGCTCATTCAGTCCAG